AGGAAAAAAGAGAAAAAAAAAAGAGAGAGAGAGAGAGAGAGAGAGAGAGAGAGAGAGAGAGAGAGAGAGAGAATGTAACGAGGCTCGCGTAGTTCGCAAGGTTCGCGTAACAGAGGGAAAATTAGAATCGATATATAACAGTATTAACCGTTGGGGTGCCAGGGGTCATTGGAAGCACCGAGAAGTGCCAAGTGGCGCCATTGTGCTTGTTCCAATTTATATTGGAAAATTCTATCTGTCGCGACTGTACTTTGTTTATCGTAACGTATTGTTTATCATGCGATTTATATGACTGACATCTGTTACAATATACTTTCGTGTCTAGTGCAATATTCGCATCATTTATAGGAAAAGTGGATCTTGAAAAACTGTCCTTCTTAAACGCTAATATAGTACACCTAATTCTGTTTTTACACGATAGATACGTTCCCGAAGAATACGTGTAAAAAGAATTCGTGTAAAAAAATATATTGCATCTATGGAAAAATAGAAGATTGGTTCGAGTCCCAAGAAATCAGCAAAAATAATACAATAAACCATGAGTTTTCATGTTAGGATCTTAAACATTTTATTTCATAAAGATTGCACGTGTATCGTACAAAGCAAATTATCATTTGAAAAGGAAAAAAGTATGTCACTAATTCACGAACACAAAAATTAGGCAAGATAATATGAGTTACACATAAAAAGATTTTATTCGTTGTCACTTATATTTTAATTATATCGTCACATATTGTAGGCTAAGGGGTTAATGAAACAAAGGTTTTAAAACTGTAACTTACCATTTATTGACTTTTACGCAAAATTAATTCCTCGTCTCCAATGTCGCAGTTATAAAAATAAAAGTAAAGCAGAATTTTCTTCTTAGAATTTGGGTCGATCGTATTAAATCAAAATAAGTCGTGTGAAAAGAGAATTCAATTTGTTTCCTAATTCGTGTTAAATCAAAATCGTGTAACAGAAGTTCGTGTAAAAACAGAATTGGGTGTACAATATCTCCATAAATGACAATTGGTAACTATTGTCTGACTGATAGTCACCTGTTCCCACTCGATGGAGAGAGTGGGCATTGCGAGGGAGTGGGATCTATAGATAAACATTTTATAAATCGTTTGAATCACTGATACGGTACAATAATACCTAAATGACAACTCATAACTACTGTCTAACTGCTAATCACCCATCCTCACTCGATAAAAAGAGTGGAGATAGCGACGAGGTAAAATCTATAGATAGACATTTTATAAGCGTATCTTGAATATTTATCGTCTGGAACTGATATAGTACAGTAACATCTCCATAAATGGTAGTTTGTAACTACTGTTTGACTCTAGGTCATTTATCCCCACTCGATATTTCCATCTTTCGAGTGGGGATAGCGATATGGAGAAACCTATAGATAAACATACTGTTACGCGGTGCATTCGACCCATCCCGCCTTAGCTTACCCATCACGAGCCGTGGGGTCAGTATTTCCAAGGTTTATAACGCGATCGTAAAGACTGGCTGTTTTTGAGTTGGAATCTTAGAATATTGGAGGGCTTAAACACGAGGTTTTGAGAATCCTAGTCTAATCCATACTCAATAGCCAAAGGCGTGTTATAAAACACGGTAATTCCGAAGGGTCACACCGAAGCGTATCTAACGGTCTTACAAGCCTGCGCTTCGGGTCCAGAGGAACGTCGTGGCCTTGGGAAAAACCCATGACCTCACGCCCGCTCAAGTGTCGTCCCACCCTTGCAGGAGAATGCGCGTCAAGGGCGCATGGAAGGGTGGTCACGACACTGAGGATGCCGCTGATTGGAAAATTGGGACTTCTTAAAATAGCCAATCAGCGTGCATTCTAAACACGCCAAGGCGAGGAACCAAAACTCTCAAAAAACCGAAGTCAGTTACAATCAGACCACCGAACAGTCATCACGATAAAACAACCCTTACCAGCTCTAGACCTTAAAACACTCTAAAGCACACCACGCGAAACCAACCGGAGGAAACAACTTCGTTTGCGTCGCGTCGAAAACACATACGTTTATCGTAATTAAGACCCTTTTGCGGATATTTGAATGTAATTTCCCGGAGACAAGTTTATTTTTAACAATTTGGTTTCTGTTTTGTAAAAATGTATTTAATATTAGGGAAATTTTGTTTATGGAAAATAAGATGATACGTAATTCATGCATAGTGGATAATGGATGGATCAGGAAGTTCATCGATGTAACAGTTTACAGACTGACTCTCGTTTTGTACTAAACTGAATTTTGTATTCGGTATTGTCCGCGTATATGGCTACCAGTTATCCCCACCATTTCCTACAACTCGCAGCTCGAGTTTGGTTTTATCTATAACTCATATACATAAATCGTGACACGGTTAGTATTGAATCAGCAAAACAAAAATAATTTAATTTCTGACAGTTGTTATTTTATCGCGAAAAATATAGCATAGTTAAACACGCTCGATTTGGTATATGAATATTGATAACCATATACGCGGACAATACTGTATACTTGATGTCGACAAGATACGAGAACAAATAATCGAGTCATCCAAGTCGAATGGGTTCAGGAAACTTGATAGCTGTCAAGAATTGAAAATCACATACCTTTTCTATAAATGACGTAAGCTATCCCGAAATACTGATATCTGTGGAGATATTAGCGTATTATCTATTCATGAGTAGAAGATTAGGTACGTGATAACGTCACCACTTGTATTAGAGTCTACCAACTTGCCAAGTGTCATACACATTTTTACTATTGATCGAAATGTTGACAAAGATGAATTACTTCAAAACCAAATGAGATTGATATACATGTCTATATACGAATTAATTTTGTCTAATTATAAATGAATTTTGAGATATTAATTAACTCCTTGCGCTAAAATATAGTTATGAAAAATTATTATTGGAAAAAATATTTACATATAGTTAATCACTATACATACAAAATTCTAAAATTTGTATGAATCATGTGCAAGTTAAAATATTAAAATATTAAACATTAGTTAGTTAAAATACTAAAAATATTAAAATATTAAAATATTAAACATTAAAATATTAAAATATTAAACATTAAAATATTAAAATAGTAAACATTAAAATATTAAAATACTAAACATTAAAATATTAAGATATTAAACATTAAAATATTAAGATATTAAACATTAACATGTTTGACATGGTTGATGACACGATATATTGTCATTGAAAACTTATGACGAGCTAAATTTGTCGTTATAGTACAAGGAATTAAGAATAATCCGCACAAAATAGCGTTCAGACCCATATTTTCATCAGCAGAATTTTACCAAATTATAGGTGACGTATAAAAAAGACAGATAAATTATTCTGTTCGTTAATAGTTGACGCTTTGATTAGAACGCTACGCCAATAGTATAAAGATATCGTGCAATTTCACTCGTAGTCGATCTTCATCAACGTTTCGACCCTAGTGACAATACGAGTGACGATGGGTTATCTACTGGACTGTAACTAGTAACTAGAGTGGGGACGTAAACACTTACCTAACCTTCTCTTCGCGGACGTGCAGCGTATATGTCACTTGGGCAATCAGACAAAGTACAGCAATGTCTTGGAAATTGGCCTAAATTCGGGCCCGAATGTGGTAGATCTTTCGGAGAATTCTGGGTCTCTTTTTCCTTCATTCAGTGCGAGTGAGATAGAGATGCATGGCGGGAAATAATGGACGTTTGGGAATAGTTATTTGTATATCTTAGAAAAGGTTGCAATTTCAATTCATAAAGTCAGTTTCAGAAACTAGTGGAAGTAGGGACAGACCAATTTCCAAAACATCAACACAAAACAAAATTGTAGGATATTTTTAGAGGTTAGGAATGAAAGCGGAACGAATGAATGGATAGTCTTACAAGGAGAGTGCAAGTCCTTCGGGTTGTCACGGGAAAACTCACAAGACTTTTAATAAAATAAGTTTATTAAAAAATGTACATTCAAGAATTCGACAGAGTAGTGGTCACGGCAACAAGGATCTTTTTCAGTGGTTTTTCTGGGCCTTTATACATTTTTCCGAAGGTGGGGTGAAGATGACCTTAGTCCTAGTCACGGGTTGACTAGGATGTTTTCTGTACTTTGAAAATGGTGAGTAACAGGAGATCACTAACTATTTTGAATGGGGTGGCTATGTACGTTTCCTGAGTCAGTGGTGGATGGCTATCAGCAATGTAAATAAGGGACTCTACAGAGGGTGATAGATTTAGTTGAAACTGTGCAGGTTTATAGATTTCGTCATGCAGTTCAAGGAAATATATTATTATAACGACAATTATTAAATAGTTTTTGATATATTTGTAGAGTCACACAGTCTCTACTTCGCTGGAGAGCATTTCGGATCCCCAAATTTACTGAATCTATTAAGTTCTTATGAGAATCGATTGAAAAATGTTACAATATTTTTCTTAACGAAAGAATCACCCTGTATATCGTAGCTCAAATATTGGCAGTTCTAGACACAGAATCCGAATGTGACGATCGCGGTTCTTGGCACTCTAGCGGTCAACACTAGAACTACCCAACTAATCAAAATGGCTGCTTCCTAACCTATCTTGCGATTGCTTCGCGAGAATACTACTTTAATATGTAAAAGTAGTATTTTACTTATATTTGGAATATTTAATATCAGAACTGTCAAATTAATCAAAATATTGGTTTTCAGACATTTTTACTTTTTCTACAGTCATTAACGTACAGTTCGTGTAAAAATTAATATTGACCTTCGTAGGGATAGAAACGTAATTATATATGTCTAATTGTTTTCGGTATAACATTTTAATCGTGGTTACCTATGTATACAATGTTTAGATACACATTACTGGTAGTTCTAGCGTTAATAGCGAAGAGAGCGTTTTCGTACGCTGTAATCAGGCGATTAACATCCGAATCGATGTGACTAGAATCGTGTGAAAGGGAAAGACAATTTTGTCGTTAAATGTAATTCTCTCCCAGTTTATCCTCGTACGACTGCGAAATCTTGATGGACGCTGTGGACGAACTGTCGTTACCTGTGTGTTGTCCCACGGCCGGCCCCCATGTCTTCTTCGGTCGAAACAAACTCAGGTCCCTCTGCGGACAATTAAAGCGAAAGTCAAATTCTTTGAATAGTCACCGGTGCCTGGGTTCGTGCAAACATTTCGAGTCAACCGACCTCGTCGTTTCAACCGAACGTTGCCAGAATGTGAACACAATGAAAAATTCCGTACATTTTATTCCAGCCTTTCAAAGACGTACATCTTTTGTTTGTTTAATAAATTCTTTCTAAGAAATTGAAATATTTAAATCGTTTTATTTTACAGAGTCTAGTTGCTATAGGATATTTTGATGATTTTAATATTTATATTATCCAATAAAATGATAGCATATGCTATATTTTTGAATGGTTCTTGAGATTAGTACAATATACGTAAATGTCATATACGGATATAATTTATTAAATAAATTTTCTTTTTGTTATATGAAAAAAGTGGTAGTTTATACTTTTTTCCATTATAAAAAATTCACCTGAAAATAAATCAACGAGAGTTTTGTTTCCAAAAGTAGGAAATTTTCTTACATATTTTTGTGTATTGATTACGAATATGGTTGCAAAAATTGTCTATCCTGTTATCATTAAAAAATAAATGATTCCAAAATTTCGATTTTCGCTATGTTTGCAAAAATATTTCGAAAACAATAATTTTTTTCTAATATTTTTATCGTATAGTTTGAATCATCTCATATAAAATCTAGTTTGATTTCTAATCATATGATCCTTTTTTTTTCTTTTTATCAAAATATACCACTTTGAAGTTACTCGAGGAACACTGGAAGGGTGCGTTATCATTTTGTCGTGTACTGTATAGCTTTTATTTTTACGTAAAAAGATGCAAATTTAGTTATTTCACAGTCCCCAAATAAAAAATTAATTATTATACCTAATTTATTTTGAGTTATCTCGTATCGGGTAGTTGACATATTAATGTGATTTATTAAATAATTCAAATATTTTTTGAATGGACATTGTTACTTGAATAATTTTATTATCAGTAGTATAGGGTGGGTGTAATTTATAACACAATGAAAATGAAGGTAACTCGATATGATACATTATATAAGATTTATTTTTGACACAATGAGCTTCGAAAATTCGTTGGGAACATGTGCCACCATGTAGGAATTGGGTATCGTGTTGTTCGATTATGAATTGCTTTACAAACTTGGCTGCAATGTGATTTAACTATCGTAGTAGAATAGAGCCGTTCACTGCACAAATTAATTAACTCCATAAAACAAAAAGTGGAGAAATGCAATGAAATAATGTATATTGTTTTTTAAAATTCCCTTTATAATTTAAATCGAAATAAATATCGTAGAATGCATAAATACAAATGTAACTTTCATCTAACGGTATATAAAATTTATAAGAAAAAATAGCCAAAAGGTAATCGTTAGTAATGTTACCATTTTTATGTTACTGGAAGAGTTAATCGATTTGGCAAGTGAAAAAGTAATCAATTTAAATTCAGTGTTTAAATTTTTAGGTTTTTTAACACGGAAGAAGAAAATTATGAGATATTTTTATTACAGATTTTTCATAAAAATGAATATTAATGAGTCTGTTATAATATATTATTATTTGTGAACCATCAGATGATTCACTATTTTGCACATCCACGTTATTATTAGTTTCACGCATCTCGATTATAAGGGTACAATTTTATTTTTTTGAAACCACTGACAAATTGAAATAATTGTTTATAATAATTCAAACCAAAATACGATCTGGAAGTAATGTTGAAAAGGCTGAAAAAATATGTAGTCCTGTAAGACTGGTAAAGTACACAGTAGAAGTTAAAATATACCAAATTAAACTTTATTCTTGATAATAATTAATTTGACTTTACAAGTACTTAATTCTGCGACAATTAAACTGTGACTGATTAATTTATTTTACTTAAATTCTGATAAGTCGGCATTAAAAAATTCACCGTTATCATTCATGGCTTGCTGGTGCATTTGAGTTGCGTTATTGCAACGATTTACATTAGAGGAGTTAATCAAAGTGACTTCTGAAATAAATTATTTATTATTCAGTGGCCAACAAATTTTTGTCGTTTAATGGGGTTAATCTTAATTATCAGGGAAAGCTATTATAAATATAAAAAGTTACGACTATACCAAGTGCTTTGACACTTAAATTTAACATTTTTCAAAAAGTGGAGTTAATCGATTTGTACAGTGAACGGTTCATATATAGATACTATTATAATTCTTTCTCTTCGAATCCTATATTTTAAAAATTCCTCTATTAATTTTAATAATAATAAAATGTGCAATAATTTACCTAATAACTTAAGAAAAATGTCAATCTATTTTCGCACTACCTAAAAATAACTACACTGTCAGATCATTATTTATTCTAATATCGTCCAGCCTATAAAGCATCAAGAATAATAATTTTCCAAAATGTTGTCTATGCAAACGATAATCTTAAAGTTAAATTAAAAAAATAATGTTCAACGATTCCTATAATATTTTATTTGTCATAATTATTGTATTAATCTTACATACAAACATTCGTAATATTTACGATAAACTAAGCCTTCATTGATTATTATAATGATGAGTTGTTATTTTAGATCATGTGTCTTTCAATGTCTTTCTACTCAACGAATAAAATTTAATAATGGTAAAATTCAGTATTTAATCACTACTTAATAATAATTTAATATTAGAACTTAATCATAAATTAACAAAATTAGAAATAAAACTTAATTGGAGATTAATAAAATCAGGAAAATGACTAATGAAAAAAAGGATGACCTACCACAATATTTCCACAAATTTTCTAAATCAAGAACCTGATATTTAATCTTTTCAGAGACAGATTGTTTTTAAATTATCGTTGCAATGATTTCAAAGCAGTGATTATAAAACAGAATAAACCGCTTTTAGCGATAATATTCGACGAGGTCTTCTTTTTCAATTTTTAAGATATTCTATAGTGAATAATATACATGAATTCTCTAAGTAAAGGGAAAGAAACCGTGTTACAAATATCTAATAAAATAGAGAAAAATGGCGGCTCCTTTCATATACTAGCTATCTATAAAAGAGAATTTTATAGTGGACATATGGCGCTAACACTTTAACTCGAAGCTTGCATAAGCAGTTGGTTATATAGGAAATAAGAAATTTTCAAGTGCATAGTACAGCACAATTTTATAATCTAGAAATTCAATAAGTTCTAACGAAATCACACTTCGGTCGTTCCGCGAGTTTGGTTTAACACAGTTCTGCGGTTGCATACATATTAATTCTGGTGCATGAAAGATTCCACGCCTTTTAAATATTCCATCCAAGATAATCTTCGAGAGTTATCCTCTTTTTCATGAAGCATTAACCCCTCGAAATTTGTGTCGTATATATACGCTATGGTCAAAATCCTATGTATTATATATCCACGTATGTATTATATATCTACAAGATGTTCGCGAAATCGTGATGTGACCAGCACGGAGGTACTTCCTCGCGTAAAACCGAGTCGAAAATAAACACAAAAATTTTTTCCTACGAGGCTCCGTTTTCGAGCAAATCAAGTTTGAATATTCGTTAGGTGTGCGTGTATTTAGATATAGTCTGTGCCGCTTACACGCACTATTGTTTGTAAACGATATCGGTCAAGATGTGATATAATTCCAACGCTTTTTTAAATATATAAGTGTAAAAAGAATGGAAAGAACGCGAATTTTTGAATAATTCTATTAATAGGGGTTATAGCTAATATACCGAAATATTCAATATACAAATATACCGAATATTCATGCAAAATTTCGGGCTAATCTGTCAAACAGTTTTTGATAAATCATGGATACCGTTCTAAAGAACAGTTTCCAGAAATACCTGTTCAAAGCTTCACGTTCTTCTCGTCCCCTCCCGCCCCTCTCTCGTATGACGCGCCAGTATAGTGGCTTTCGCGGATGTCATATTTCTGTACGACGCGCCACTATAGTTAATCATCATACAAAAATAATACAATAATTTAATCATCAAACACTTCATTCCAATACACTCGTGTAAAGAACAGCATTATCCGTCACACATTGCAGTGCCGTATCATTTACACGTAATTCGCGTTGAACTCTGCCGTACAGAGAAACAGCCCCGCGCAAAATTCAGCCGTGCCTAAGAGGTTAATTCAGAAATTCGCGTAGGCGGTGTGAATTTGTTCGTTTCGCAAAGAAAAGTGGTGGTTATTCGGATAGCTTCATGCTTTTACTCGAATCACTTCATCGACCATCTCGAGCGAATTATAAATTATATTTCCCTGGTTTCTTTATTGTACGGAAATCAAATTTTAATCTTCGCGTTTTCGCTCAAAGCATGTACCAACATCGCAAAAATAATTTCAGAAATATTTATAAAAGAAGAAGATGGAAACCGAAGATAACCTTTCACGTAGTTCAGAAGCGAGCGTTGTAAAATTGAAAATGTAGAGACTGATTGAAGATACAATATGGTTTGTTACGTGCACGTAACAAAGATCTATGTACGTCTCTGTATCGCTAGATCGCGGAAGAAGAGGCACTCCCTTGGTCGCTTTCCTCACAGAGATTTTCCTCTCGCTCGCGGGCTCATATCTTCCCGAACCTTACAAGTAGTTGGAAACTGTACAGGGAGTGGAAAACAGGAGAAAAGGAGATAAGAGTAATAGTAAATTTATCGAGTAAAACAAAGCGGAAGCGGTCAAGAAAAGGGGCAGAAGTACGGTTGAAATAGGTTCGATCCGTACGATGGAGCACGGAGCGAAACTTTTCGTTTCAAAGTACGATTACCTACGTACCGTAGAAAAACTTGTATTAAGACATTTCGAAGTTGCTCGGATTTTACGGTAAAGGGAGGCAACTTTTCAGAACAGCGCATATCTCCTGCAGGGCTTAACCGCAGCTGCCAGCGGTACGTGACTCTTCAAAAATTTGCAATTCGTTCAACGCTGAATTATGGCCCGCGATATCGCGAAACGCTCTGCAATTATCGTTCGCTCGCATATTTTGCACGCGGAAATTTACAGCGTCTACGACAGTCCG